GGTGCGTGACGCCCCCCAGAGAGGCTGGGGCCGGGCCTCCAGCTGGTAACTGAGGAGGCCGTGCAAATATACGAGAAATCACCTCCTGTCTGCTCCAGAGGCAAGGGGAGAGAAGCTGGAAAAGGAGACCAGCCTTTTGGAAGAAAAGGACCCTTGAGTGGGCAAATCCTGTGTGAGCTGCACAAGGGAACCCAGATTCAGACCTGGCTCTTAGCCATTAGCATGTAACATGTTTAAAACAAGGGGTTGTCATGCTGTGTTGAAATAAATCTGGAAATTATTTAGCTTTGAAATGAATTTGTCCGGTATGGTCAGGTCTATTTGAGGATGAGTGCTCCTTGAAGCAGAAAACAACTATCTTGGTAAGTCAAAAAAAGCAAAGTGTAGAAGAGTGTGTCTAGGATGCCACATGTTATGAGAAAGGAGGGGTATGAGAAAGTACACACGCATCTGCTGCCTGGTGCAAAAGACACACCGGAAGGGTAAGGCGGGAGCTAGGGAGACAGCTACCTGCAGCAGGTGCGCAGAAGGGGAACCAGGGCGGAGGGATGAGGAGGGAGCGTCCCGTTTGTGCAGCTCTGACTCAAACCACAGCAATGTTTCACACACCCTTCAAATACCCAGAAATCAACAGACAAGACCGGCTAGCGTCTGGAGGAACCCAAACTGAAATGCACACAGTAACAAATGAACCTAACCCTATTATAAGTGGATAGCAACACCCACCATAAAGGAGGTGAAGGAAACACCGGCTGCTCTGAGGGACTTTGGATGTCACAAAGCTGAAGAGCCAAGAACTGTACGTGTGGGCTACAATTCAGTTAGGGAATGCGCATCTCACAGGAGCACAGGTTAGCAATTCCAAGACTACTCTATGCCAGAGTTCAACAAATAAGAAAATCCATTACAGATAATGACATCTGGGTTTCCTCACTGTTGGAGAAAGAAGCTACGAATAAGGAAGGACACAATGAGCCTTGTGCTGTTGGATCAGAATCAGAAGTACCAGTGTAAGAGCATCGTCTTGTATACACACACACACATACACACACAAGAGAGAAAGAGACAGAAATTTAGGTGTGTGAGGAGGACTGGGTTAGTGAGCATATTTATCATCCCCAGCTCTGTCTGCTGAGAGAGCCTAGAAACAACATTCTAGCAGCAATGAGCACGACTGGCACCCAGATCTTGGTTTCTAACCACCCTTTCCCAGTAGAAGCAGCTGGAGCTCCCTGGGCAAGTGATAGGTTCCAGGCCTGGGGGAGGGGAAATCCAAGATGAGCCTGGAACATTCTGTGGTGCTGGACAGTAAGAAAGTGCTCAAAAGGAACGAGGCTTATTGAAAGGACATGGGCGCCAAACTAAAAGAGACTTTGATGGCCAAAGCTGGAACAATTTAAGCAAGAAAGTTAATAATGATAGTGTTGGATTATAACTCAAAAAATTAACTGAATATTTGTGAGTCCATATTGATGTATTTAAACAAATAAATGAATAAATAAATGGGGGAGAAGGACAGCTCTTCCTTGCAGTAGAATTCCAGTTAATAAATGGAGACTGTTGGGGCCCGCCTGGTGGTGTAGTGGTTAAGTTTTCATGCTCCGCTTTGGCAGCCCAGGGTTTGCCAGTTCAGATCAGTTTGGATCCTGGGTGCGGACCTGTGCACCGCTTACCAAGCCATGCTGTGGCAGGCATCCCACTTATAAAGTAGAGGAAGATGGGCACGGATGTTAGCTCAGGGCCGGTCTTCCTCAGCAAAAAGAGGATGATTGGCAGTTGATGTTAGCTCAGGGCCAATCTTCCTCAAAAATTAAATAAATAAAATAAATGGAGAAGGAAAGAGTGAAATAAAAATCACCATTGGGTATAATAGTTGTTGCAGTCAATACCCACTGCTGGATACTGAAATCAGTGGATGTAAGTTTGAGGAGAAACAAGGTATTCGCATGATGTCAAAGTGCCTTCCCACAAGATATTCATTATTCACAAAGTGAAAAGTCATGACTGTACCTGTGAGAGACCCTGCAGACACCACCTTCACCAAGTGATCAGAGTTATCATCTCCAAAGGAAGACACACTGGCCTCAGAAACCCTTTGATCTGAGGCACTGAGACAGACAACACGATTTGCGTGGTATTCTTACTCAAAAGGAATAACCTCACACTGATTATGAGGAAACTTCAAATGAACCCAAATTAGGGGCATTCTAAGGAAGAGTTAACCAGAACTCTTCAAAAGTGTCAAGGTCATGAAGGCAAAGAAAGGCTGAGGAACTAGCATAGTTTGGGGAGTTGAAGGAGATGTGACGACTTCACGTAACGTGCAATCCTGGACTGGAACCTGGGACCGAGAAAGGGCATGACAGACGGTCCTCAACTTAACATGGTTCGCCTTAGGATTTCTTGACTTTATGATGATGCAAAAGCTGTACGCATTCAGTAGGAACCATACTTGGAATTGTGAATTGTGCTCTTTTCCCGGGCTAGCGATGTGTGTGTGATCCTCTGTTAGGATGCTGGGCAGCGGCAGCCTGTGCAGCTCCCTGTCAGCCCTGCAGTCATGAGGATGAACCACCGGCACACTGACAACGTTCTGTACCCATCCAGGCATTCCGTTTTCACTTTCAGTACAGTGAAATTTACATGAGATAGTCAACACTTTATTATAAAATGGGCTTTGCGTTGGATGATTTTGCCCAACTGTAGGCTCGTGAAAGTGTTCTGAGCACACAGGAGGCAGGCCAGGCTAGGCTAGGATGTTCCTTGGGTTAAGGGGATGAACTAGGAACTCTGTACTATTTCTGCAACTTTTCTGCAAGACTCAAATTAGTTCAAAGTCAAAGTTAAAAAAGAAAATAACAAAAGTTTAATTAGTTCACCTGAATCATGTGTGTGTATGACGTATGTCCTGGAACAACTTCTCAGTGAAATAAAACACCCAGTGCCGCTATGTTTAAATTAAGGAAGACACTTGAACAAATGTCCTCACCGTGGTAATCACAGCACATTGGTTCTAGCATGAGACCTACGCATAGAGGTCTAGTAATACTGAGATGGCGTTCTAAAGCTTCAAAACTAAAGTTAGGCTCATTGTTGACAGACATAATAAACTCTCTATTTTTTCCCTCTTTGCAGAAGATCTCCTTGAGGGAGGCACACTGGAGGTGAGATGGCACATCCCAGCAGGAGTCAGCTGGGGACAGCAGGTAGCAGACGGCTGGGGGCCTTCTGGAGGAGGGAAGTGCCAGCACGAAGTCCCTGAGGTGGGAAGCGGGTCGGCTTGCTCTGGGAGCTGGAAACGGCCAGGACAGCAGGCCCGCAGGGGTGTGGGTAAGGCTGGAGGGACAGGCAGGCGCGGGCCACGTGGGACCTGGTAGCAGAATTCAGAAGTATTCTGTGAGCAGCGGAGGCCGCTGAAGGGCTTGAGGAGAGGGACACATGACCTTGGGAAGCCATCTTCTCCCACTCCCTCGTTGGCTTGGAATGCCTGTTTCTACAACGCTGACGGCGGTTCTTTATCTTCACCGAGGAATTAGACCTGGGAAGGGGCCAACAGGGTAGAGTTTGACAAGCGACAGGGATGCACTTCCAGGGAAACTTCTGTGCCTGGAGAGTTTACAGAGCGGAGGTGAGAGTGTGTGTCGTGTCTGCCCTGAGGGAGCATCAAAGATGTTCTGAATTTCATGGATCAGACAAGTTTCTTCTTTTCCCAAATTTTGCTTTGAAGCCAAGAATATCACTACCTTCTAATGTCAGCCTCCCAACCCAATTATTTCTCTCTTTGATTAAAAATAGAGCAAGCAAATTCACATCTGTTGGTTGAAGGTTTGATATGTGCATAAGACAGGAGTCGTTTCTTCCCATCCAGCTTACGCAGGAATAGTAAAAGACAAAACTAAAGCTTCCGGTAAATCTAGGAGTTAGAAGAGAAACATTTTTGTGAATAATATCTATTGTTCAAAGATCTCTCCAAAATCCATACGCACACTTTCCTTGCCTTTGTAACCGAACTGAACTAAACACCCTTTGTTCTGAGCACTGAGCCGCGGCCCTTTGGCGGACACCTGGCACTCCGCACTCGCTGCTGGTCAGCTCTGGGTTAAAAAGCAAAGAGGGCTGAACCAAGGCTCTGCAAAGTACAGGATTCTGGGCAGCTTTGCTATCGTTTTTGTTTTCTTTTGTTTTTTGAGGAAGATTAGTCCTGAGCTAACATCTGCTGCCAATCCTCCTCTTTTTGCTGAGGAAGACTGGCCCTGAGCTAACATCTGTGCCCATCTTGCTCTACTTTATATGTGAGACACCTACCACAGCATGGCTTGCCAAGTGGTGCCATGTCCACACCCGGGATCGAAACCAGTGAAACGCCGGCCACCGAAGCAGAATGTGCGAACTTAACCCCTGTGCCACCGGGCCGGTCCCATTGCTGTAGTTTAAAAAAAAAAATTCCAGATATCTTGTTTTTAAAAAAATCTTTTTCTCATATACCAGAAATGCAGAAGGGAAAAAGCAATCAGGTTAACAAATCACTCTGGTTTACTGGATTCCAGTTGGTGCAGTTTAAACATAAAACACATTACCTTCTGTCATGGATCAGCTGAAAGTTTTACTTCCGAGGAAGCAGAGAGCACCTCTGTGTACCTGACCGTCAGTGCCCGTGGCGCGCCCAGGCCGGGGGACGCCCTGCGGAAGGCCGCCTCTCTCGGGCCGCGTTCCAGCCGATGCCCCCGGGTCCCCGGGAGGCGGCAGGTGCGCCCCGCGGATCCCACCCCTGGGCGCGGGGCTGCGCAGCCGGCTGGGGCGTCGCGCGCGGTCACTGTCGCCACCGCCGTCCAGCCACCTCCTCCCGCCGCCACCTGAGACCCCCGCGCTGGGAAGTGCGACCGCGGATCCGGCAGGCTGACCGCGAGCCACCGCGCTCCTCACGCCCGCCCCCCAGAAACCCTCTGCGTCCCCCAACCGCGCCATCCGCGCGCCCCATCCGCGCCCCCGCCGTCCCCTACCTGCGCGTCCCGACCGCGCGGCCGCGAGCAGCAGCACCAGCGGCGGCGGCAGCAGCGCCCGGGGCCCTCGGTCCGCCCTGGCGGGGGCGCGGGGGCGCGGGGTTTCCCCATGGGCGGGGGCTTCACATGGTGGGTGCGCCCCGTCCCCGGGCCGGCTGGGGCGGCGCACGGAGGCCGGTCTCAGCTTGGGCACCGTCCGGGCGGAGGGGCGATGCGGCCCCCAGGCCCGGGGTCGCTCCCGAGGCTCGGGGGGAAGGAGACCCCTCGGGGACCGTGGGCGCTCCCCACGCGCCGTGCGGGATTCCCCGATCCCCCTGCGGTCTGGGGTCGCCCGGTGTCGCAGACCGGGACACGGGCGCAGAGCCGAGGGGCGGCGTCCACGCAGGCCGGGTCCTGCCGCCTCCTCCCCGGAGGGCGGGGCGCTGTTGAGAAAGGTGGGAACGGTGGAAGGAAGCGAGCGGGCTCGGCCTGGTCCTCGGGAGGCAGGTAGAGGCTGGGCAGGCCTGAGGACGGAAACCAACGCCTACCGCGGAGGGCTGCCCGCTCTTTCCCTCGGGAACACCAACACCTGTCTCCAAATATGCAAATGGAGAAACACGACCCGAAAATAGGTCAACTACCTTTATCTTAGAAAAAAGAATCTTCGCGAAATGAAAAAAAGAAGCGATTTTGGTGGGAGGGGGTGAGAGGATGGGCAGGATTTTCAGAGTCCCCTCAGTAGGCTTCTTCCTCCTCGCCGGAAAGACTGCGAACAGGGTGAGTCCAGGCCAGCTTGTCCCTCTGGCTGCGACTCGGCTCAGCGAGGCAGAACCCGGGACCCCACAAACCACACGTCTGGTGTGTCGCCGGTCCCGTAGATTCCCCCACGGGGGGTGAGGGGCGCTGGAGGACTGAGGGCTGGCGGAGGGAAGGACCTGCTGCGCCCCGTCTGTCACAGTGGCCCTCCCCCGGCAGGGGCAGCTGCTCTGGTGCTGGTTTCCCGCTTCCTCAACCCCCAGAATCGGCCTCATCGCACCCCTCAGGGGCACAGCCGGGGCTGCCCGCCCCGTTCTCACAGGCTGCTGTTCCAGGTCCCTGGGTTCCTCTTCCCGGATGAAGCCCGCCTTCCCTTGGTTTCTCCAGTCCCAGGGCTGGCAGCTGCTTCCTGCAGTTGCTTGCTTTGTCTCCTTCTCAGAATCCCTTTTTACTTTTTTAGCTTTCCAACATCTGTTTAACCAATTCCTTATAGCCAGTTCTTTCTGTTAAAATAACTGGTATGTTTTCTGTTCTCCTGGCTGGACTCCTGCTGATTCAGTAAGAGTTTAGGAAGGACTGAACATTTTCCAAGGACTGTGTGTTATCAGGACATCATCAGTGTTATCTTGAGTTACTGTTGTTCTTACTAAATGTAAATTACGTTAGTTTAGCTCCATCACTATCATTTTAAGTCTGGTGGGTTAAATATGATGTATATTTGCCACAAAAATATTTGGGGCCAATAGTTTTTTGGTATCTAAACTTTGGGACTTGTATGTATTTCCGTTCAAACGGGAACTGTTCACCGCCCTCGAGGGGCTAAGCAGACAGACCGCGGCCCTGCCTCCCTGTCTCCCGAGCCTTCGTGACTTGGCAGGAGTAGTTCGTCCTTTCCTCCTAACAGCAGGTGCCAGTGGGTGGGTACTTGGGCTTTGGAGTCCTTTCTCCTTGTTTGTGAGCCAGTCCTCTTCCGTAATCGTCTTCCCTCTCTCCCTTCCTCTCAGGTTCCCCTTTGCACTTGTCAGACACCAAGTCAGAACTTCACTGGGCTGGTGCCTGTTAAGAACCTCACCCGTCCGTCCTCAGGGTGCCTGTGGTTTTGTAGGAGGCGTGTGACTGAGAAGTGGCTCCGTGTTCAGCTGATGTTTCCCATGCACTAAGAGCACAGTCATGACTTTTCTTTTGTTTTTACCTGTGACCCGGAACTCGCCCTAGGGAGTTCCCGTTGTTCCTTTAAATCCTGCGTGCTTACCCGCCCCTGTGAACCTCAGGAGGAGGCAGTCCGAGCCCCTCCCAGCCTAAACCTTCACCGGACAAAATAAGCCGAACTGCGTCCTTCAGAAGAGTTTTGAAATGACTCGACCCATTCAAATTGGTGTTTTCCTCTGCCCATAAAGATTACAACTCTTCTTGTCATGGTTTACCACACTGAGATCCTAATTTTGTGGAGCCTGATGTACAGATTCCTGGTCTTTCTGATCAGGAAGGCCATAAACCAATGCCCCCACCCCAACCCCAGCACTAATACCACCAACAAAAAGTACAGACGTTTCCTTTTCCAGTTTAACTCCTGAAGGGTTTCAGGGAGGATACACTGTCATCATTGTCCTCACCGTCATCGCCATCATGTGAAGTTACTGAAGTCTTCCTCTGAGCCAAGTGCGATGCTGAGAATGTTGCATTTACTGCCTCCTTAGGTCCTTCCAGCAGTTCTGCAAGTTAATCGCATTACCCCGAGTTACAAAATGAGGAAGCAGGCTTGGACGGGCCATTCACTAAATAAGGGGCAGAACTGGGAAATGAATCCTGGTTAATCTAATTCAGACACCTGTGTCTTCAATGACTTCCTTATATGACTCTTGCACTCGAGAAAATAAAGCAAATACATTTGAGGGTTGAACTGTCAAATAACACACACATTGAGATGTATACTTATTAATTTATGAAAAAAGCAGCATTTTTGTGACTTCCATATCGTAAATTACAAGTGAGTGGGACAGAGGCGCATTCCTGGATGCTCAGCTATGCTGGGGGGCGGGTTCAGAATGTCCTAAGGAGCACTGCTTCAAAAGTCAACCTGAAGATTAGGCTGAACCGGCAAAACCCTGGGCGGACCAAGCAGAGTGTGCGAACTTAACCACTTGGCCTCGAGCCGGCCCCTATTCATCCCATTTTTGACGACATTTTGACTTTTTCCCGTTTGGAGCTATTAGCAATAGTGCTACCTTGAACATTCCTGTATGTGTCTCCTCTTAGGTGCACATGTTTTTATCAGCGATGTACCCAGAGGTGTGATTGCTGGATCATAGGACAGACGTGATTTCAACTGAAGTCAAGAATGCCAAACCTGTTCCCAAAGTAGTCATAACAACTTTCACTGCCTTCACCTCTAATGAGGGTTCTTCTTCCATATTCTCCCAACACTTGGTATTTTCAGGCTTCATAACTTTGGCCATTTTCGAGGCTAGGTAGTGATATCTCACTGTGGTTTTCATTTGCATTTTTCTGATCATTAATGACATTGAGAACCTTTTCATAACTTTACTAGCCATTTAGATATATTCTTGTGTCATGAGTCTGCTCGTTTCTTGTTTATTTTTTGTATTAGATTGTCTTTTTATTTTACTTTTAGTTTTTTGAAGGAATTTGTTACATATGCTGAATATGAGGCCTTTAGCAGTTATATATTGCAAATTATTCTTTTTACGGGCATTGTTTCTTGAGTCCTGTTTAAAAAGTGTTATCCCATGCTAAGGTCATGAAGGCCTTCTTCTAAGTTATCTTCTGAAAGCTTTTTTGTTTTGTTTTTCACATTTCAAATTATGATCTACCTGGCATTGATTTTTATTTTGACGTAAAGTAGGGGTTCAAGTTTTCCTTTTTTATATGAGCCAAATTGACCCAGCACTATTCACTGAAAAATCAACTTTCCCTGTAGCTCTTCAAATCCGCCTTCCTCCTTGACTGTGTCTTTAACGATGGCTCTGATTAAAGAATGTACTCTGTTCCATTGGTCGATTTGTCTATCGTTACGCCAATACCACACGATTTTGATTACTTTATCATTTTGCTGGTAGAGTGAGACCCTCTACTTGGCTCTTATTTGAGAATCTTGGCTATTTTTGCCCTTTGCATTTCCATATAAATTTTAGAATCACTTGTCAATTCCCACAAAACAACTGACTGAGGTTTTTCTTAAAGTTTTTCTATTAAGTCATAACATGCATCAAATAAGGCACCTAAAGCACATTAATCTTAAGTTTTTCATATACACACAATGATGGTGCCAACGTCAGATCACAGTAGAGAAGCTCTCCAGCACTCTGAGGACCCAGGTGCTTTCTCACATCCTTCTAACAGGAAGTCACTATTTGACTTCCGTTACCATTTGACTAGTCTTGACTCTTCTTGACCTTTCTATCAGTGGAAACATACAGTATGTATTCTTTTATATCTGGCTTCTTTTGTTCAACATCACTCCTTTGAGGCTCACTCACGTTGCTACATGTATCAGTAGCTTTTATCTTTTTTAGGGCTAGGAGTGTTCCATGGTAAGTTTTTAACATCTGCGTCTGTTCATCTTTATCCTGAAAGCACACATGAGGTTTCAGTGTTGTTACTATCACTGCAGCAATAACTGCACCCGGTCCCCGTGCTCCATTCTTCTCTCTCTTCTGGGGTGACGTGATGAGAGCCAGGTGGATGCTGCGCTCGCACCTCGAGAGAAGAAGCCCAGAATTATGGATCTGGAAGCGTATAGAGGCTGCACACTGCTCACCTGCTGCTCTGTCTTTCTGAGGAGAGAGAGAAACCCTGCTCCCTGGTGTAAACAAGTGGAAAGTGGGTGATTCTCCCAGGAAGCGAAGCGGAGGGTCCCGACCCTGCATGCAAACGTGTGGCTCTGGGGAGATGAGTTTTACTATCCTTTGACCGGGAACACATGGCTCCACGTCTGACACCCTTGCAGTGTGAGAAGCAGGTGACTCTGTGGAAGAGGAGACATTCCGAGATGCGCCGACTGGCTTTGCTCAGGAGACCAGCTGTCCAGATGTGTGGAAATATTCGTGCAGCCTTGTTTCCCTGACGTTCCACTGTGTGAATGCAGGCATTTGATTCTCCCATTCTCCTGTTGATGGACATTCAGGTTGTTGCTTACGACTGAGTTGTAAGAGGCCCCGTTGTATTCGGGACACAAATCCTTTGTCACATACATGTGCTGCAAATATTTTCTCTGAGTTCTTGGCTTGCCTTTTAATTTTTCAATGATGTCTGCAAGAGCAAAAGTTTTTAATTTTGACAAAGTCTCATTTTTCAATATTTTTCCTTTGTGGTTGTGTTTTGGTGTCCCATCTAAGAAATTTTTGTGTATCCCAAAGTTGAAAATGTTTTCTCCTAGAAATTTTCTTGTTTTAGCTGTTACAATTAAATCCATAATACATTGAAAGTTAGTTTTTGTGTATGGTATAAGGAAAAATTAGAGATTAATTATTTTTCCCATGCAAATTTCTTGTTGTTTCTGTGCCATTTATTGAAAAGACTTTCAGTCCACATTAAATTGCTTTAGCCATTTTGTTGAAAAATTGTTGACCACATCTGTATAGGTTTATTTCTGGGTCTCTATTCTTCTCATTGGTTATGGATTGAGAACTCAATACCTGTTAAAATTAGGCTGTAGATTCAGTGCAATTCCAATCAAAATTTTAACAGATTTTTGTGAAACTTGACAAGGTGATTATAAAATTTGTGTGGAATTGCAAAGGTCCAGAAATAAGACTTTTTTTAAAAAGTTCAGATGAGAAGACTTTCCCTTCCATGTATCGAGACTTGTTATACAGTCTCAGTGAGATGAAGTGGTGGACTGAAGGATCAATGAGACAGTAGGCGGACACAGACATTTACGGACATTTGATAAGTGACAAGGTGGGTATTTTAGATTAGTGGGGAAGAATGGGGTTATTAGTGAATGCTTCTGGAAAAATTGGGTATTTACCTTATTTCACACCACTTACAAAAGTAACTTAAGGTGCATAGTTAAAGAGTTGTTATGTGTTAAATGATGTCCCTTCCCCCTCAAATTCACATGTTGAGGTCCTAACCCCTGGTACCTCCGTAAGTGACCTATTTGGAAATAGGGTTGTTGCAGACGTAATTGGGTAAGTTAGGATGAGGTCATACTGGAGTAGGATGGGCTCCTAATCCAATGTGGTTGGTTTCCTGACAAAAAGGAGAAATTTGGACTCCAACATGCACACGGGGATAATGCCATGTGAACAGAAAGGCGGAGATTGGAGTCATGTGTCTACAAGCCAAGGAATACCACAGATTGCCAGAAAACCACCAGAAGCTGGAGGAGAGGCCTGGAACGGAGTCTTCCCGACAGCCCTCAGGAGGAAGAAACCCTGCTGTCACCTTGGTCTCAGACTGGTAGCCTCCAGAACTGAGACGACAAATCTCCATCGTTTGAGCCAGCTTTGCTAACTGCAGGCCGGAAAAGCCGCTCCAAGGCTCAACGTGGAGGCACAACTAGAACACCGCGTAGTAGAAAATCTGTGTGGCCCTCGGTGGAAAACATTTCTTAAACATAAACAACACTAGCCAGAAATAAAAAGATTGATAAATTTAACTGCATTGAAAGTAAGAATTTCTGCTCATCAAGAGACACTAAAAGAGAGTTAGAAGACAAGCCACAAACTGAAAAACTATATATGCATCACATATAAATATAACATGTATTATGCTGAATGTTATGTTATTTATACATATTCTCTGGATGTGCGTATGTATTCTGGAGATATATTTATACATATATATTCTGGATACTAGGCAACTTTCATTTAATTTTAAAGAACATTTTCACCTAAGGGATTTGTGATGTTGTTTTGGTCATTTCTTTTCTATTTTGAGTTTGAGAACTACTATGGAAAATGGAAACAATACTCCTAACAAAAACAATGGCTTCTGGAAGGGTTTATAGATAGCCACAGAAGTTACTTCAGTCAGTAGCATAAAGAACGATGGCAGTAAAGAAGATGGAAATCCTTGCAAAGGTTGGGTGACTTTGGCATTCGTGATCACCAACAAAGTTCTCAACTGTTGGTGTAACAATTCAGCTGGTGGCTGCGCCTGCCAGGCATGTTAATTAGCCGGAGTATGTGAAAAGAAACTAACGATTCCTCTTTTTCCAGATGGAAAGACAAAGCACGACATCAATAATTTGCTCTGGTCCAAATCCGGAGGTAGTGTGGCTTTACCTAGTGCTAGCATAGTTCCCTCTGCTGGGTAATTTAACTTAGCTCTGAAGAGTTTCGAAAATGCTGGGTTAGCATGTAAGTCAATTCAGAGTTTTTATTTCAAAAGGGCCCAGAGTAGCAAGGATAATCTCGAAGAAGAACAAAATTGGGCAACTTACACCAAGATATCATGGTTTACTATAAAGCTACACATTGAGAAATTAGAATTCATTAAAATTAACAACTGCTATTCATCAAAAAATGCCGTTAAGAGAGTGAAAGAGGAAGTACAGAGCAGAAGAAGAAATCTGCTATATATATGAAAGAAAGCAGAAGATATGAATAACTCCTACAAATCACCAGAAAAAGATACACAACTCAATACAAAGATGAGTGAAAGTTTTAACAGGCGCTTCACAAAACAAGATATCAATGAGACAAGAGGCCTCTCAACATCCTCCATCATCATGGAAACGCAAATTAAAGCCACAATGAAATGCTGGTACACCCACCACAGTGGTTACACAGCGTCGAGTGTCGGTGAGGAGTCAGAACAACTGGAGCGCTCGTATGTTGCTTGTGGGAGTCTTCAGTTGGGTTAGCAGTTTTCCAAAGAGGGTCAGGTTCATGGACAGGCGAGCTGGCTAGTTGTTCAGGGCCCCAAACTCACAAGGGCTCTATGCATGGTTTAATGCCCTGCTGGACACCTCTCGAAATTCCTAAAGGTTTTCTCTTTAAATTTGTTTTTTGTAAGTAAAGTCTTGTGAGACAATGGAGCACGCACCTGAGAACAAGGGAAGTGCAATTCGTGTGTCTGTCGCTGTTCCTTGCTACCGTATTTGCCATGCCCGTGAGCACAGAATTCTGGTGAAACCACCGTGCCTGGGAGTTCAAGGAGACTCAAAGGAGTACCAGGTCAGTGGGGGATGCTGATATCCCCGAGAAGCCTGTTTCCGCCAGAACTGGAACTTGCACGGAACACAGAAAGAAGGCAGTGGTGTTCTAGGAAACGTGGCAAACTGAAGAATCTTATCAGATCTGTTCTGACTCATGTTACTTCCCTGCATTAGCCAAACACACATGCTGGAAATGATGACAGAGAAGGAAAGGAAGGGTAGGACAACCCACTGTTCTTTCTCCTTTTAGTCCCTCTTTCTCACCATAAACTGAGGGTAGAAAGTGTTGCTATAATGGGCACATACCAGGAAGCGAAATAAAAATATTTGACTTAATTCAGTGCCGCATTTTCACTGTTCTGTTAAGAATCAAATACATATGCACGTAGCAGCTGTGAAATATGAGTCGTGTAATTTCAGTGATTCCGCATACAGGTTAAATGCTGCCACATTTGCATTTAAAATTGCCATTGCACAATATAAAGGCGAATGGTGAAATTCATGCTGCTATTTAAACATTTTAGTTTTTTTCACTTACAGTCACCTGAAATATCAAATCAAAGAACAACATAAGTTGAGAGAGATCATGGAAAAAAGGAAACATTTATATTTTAGTACCTTTGATGGCACATTGCCCCACTTTTTGAACAATAGACCTTGCATTTCATTTTGTGCTGGACCTGCAAATATGTAGCCTGCCCAGTTTTTGAACCAAGAATTTTAACCCTGGATACATACTCAACAAAAACGAATGCTCATTTTTGGAATCTTCCATTTTTTCAAATATTGAACATTAACATCTATTAAATTTTATGATGCAACTTAAGACACTGCAACTCTAGGCCCCAGCCCCATGGCTGAGTGGTTAAAGTTCTGTGCTCTGCTGCGGCAGCTGGGTTCACAGGTTCGGATCCTGGGCGTGGACCCACTCCACTCACCAGCCACACTGTGGAGGTGTCCCACATACGAAAAAATAGATGAGGATTGGCACGGATGTTAGCTCAGGGCGAATCTTCTTCAGCAAAAAAACCCAAAAACAACAACAAAAAAACCCAATTGCAACTCTAGAGAGAGAAGTGTGCTTATCCTGAAAGTAAAAAAACCCAGGAGAGAATAGGAAAGGACAAATATTTTTGGTAGAACCTGGTTGATCTGAACTCAGAATCTCCTGGAGATTCACGGGGTTCCCCGGCTTGGAAGGACAAAGGGAGAAGCCAGCACCTGGAGCAGAGTGACCGTCCTTTGTGATCTGTGTGCACCACGTGTCAGAAATGTACCCAGCCAGCCACCGGATGTCACTGTTCTCTCGTGCTCCTCGTCTGGGCATCCCACAACGTCTCTGCGTGAATATTCGGTGTCCTGCTTTGCAGCCTGACAGTGGCGCAGGCTCACCCGCACGGGCCTCGCAATGTGGGATCCCTGACTATCCCCACATAACCATGATTTTCGTTCCAGAGCAGCACAGAAAGGTTTAGAAGCCATGAGCAATCTCAAGTGCAGCTCTCAGCTGGTCTCAGCCCTGAAACAGAGCTTGGGGTATGGAACACAGCAGCTGTTTACCTTTCTGTCAAGTGACTGGCTCTTCTATGCGCCCAGGCCTGGAAATCGTTGTGTTTCACAGGTGGTTTAGATTACGTTCAAAGATAACACCCAAATCCTTCCATTAAAATAACAAAAACCAAAAACCAGGAAATGAAAAACAAGGCTTAATGATCAGTTGGTGTCAAAACGTGACAGCAGGTCTCCAGAACTTCCTACCAGCACCAGGCTGCAGCTGGCTCAGGCGTCTGTCCTCAGCCATCCGTCCATGTGCGTCTCAAGGACAGGCCGTGGCTGTTGGCCTCCCACACTTCCCACCCTGTGAACGGAGTGGGGGAGCAGCCCGGGCTCCTCCTGCCCCACGGGCGTGCTCACATTCATCATCCAGACCAAAGGATGGGTGATCCACAGCACCTTCCTGCCCTTCCCCCAGGAGAGTTTCCCTTAAATTCACTTACTCAGTTCTTCAACAAGTACTGCCTTCTAAGTGCTGACTGCTGTATTAGGAGCTGGGGACACAGCAGCGACACACAGAAAAGTCCCTGTCACTGTGGCGCCCATATTCTAGTGTTTAAGTAGAGATTAAAATCGCAAACTAAAGGGAAATTGCCCAG